TTAAAGACAAAGAGAGTCTTAAAAGCATCAAGAGAAAAGCAGTTAGTTACCTACAAGGGAGCTCCTATAAGATAATGAGCTGATTTCTCAACAGAAACTTTGCAGGCCAGAAGGGATTGGCATGAAATATTCAAAGTGGTGAAAAATAAGGACGCACAATCAAGATTACTTTACCCAGCAAAGCTATCATTTAGAATTGAAAGAGAAATAAAGAGCTTTCCAGACAAGAAAAAGTTAAAGGAGTTCATCACCACCAAAGCAGTATTACAAGAAATGTTAGAGGGATTTCTTTAAGACAAAAGATAAGAAATATGAATAATAAAATGGTAATAACTATATTATTATCAATAATTACTTTAAATGTAAATGGGTTAAATGCTCCAATCAAAAGATGTAGAGTGGCTGAATAGATAATAAGAAAACAAGACCCATACATATGCTGCCTACACAAGACCCACTTCAGATATTAAGACACACACAGACCAAAATAAAGAGATGGAAAAAGATATTTTATGCAAATGGAAACAAATAAAAAAGCTGGAGTAGCTATACTTATATCAGCCTATTTTGGCTGATACAACTTTAAAACAAAAGCTATAACAAGAGACAAAGAAAGACTTAGCAATTCTACTTCTGGGTATTTATCTGAAGAAAACCAAAGCACTAGTTCAAAAACACATATGCACCTCCTATGTTCCTTGCAGCATTATTTACAATAGCCAAGATATGGAAGCGGCCTGAGTGTCCGTTCATATACAAATAGACAAAAAAGAGGGGGTACATATACACAATGGAATATTACGCAGCCATAAAAAGGAATGAAATTTTGCCATTTGCAACAACATGGACCTAGGGGGTGTTATGCTGAGTGAAATAGGTCAGACAAAGAAAGACAAATACCATATGACTTCACTTAAATATGGAATCTAATAAACAAAATAAAAGCAAAGAAAACATAAACTCAGATACAGAGAACATTTTGATGGTTGCCAGATGGGAGGGTGGTTGAAGGAGGCAGATGAAAAAGAGGAAGGGATTAAGATGTGCAAATTGCTAGTTATAAAAACTCATGAGGATGTAAAGTACAGCATAGGGAATATAGTCAATAATATTGTGATAACTGTGTATGAAGTCAGGTGGGTACTAGACTTATGTTATGTAAATGTCTAATCACTATGTTGTATACCTGAAACTGTAATTGAAGAATAACAAAATTGTTTTTAAAAACACAGTAACTGTGGAACAACACTTTATCTGGATTGTATAGTCAGAATAAAACAGACAGACTTTAACAAAAAAAAAAATTTACCTTAAATGAACAGTAGGTGTCACTGTTTAAATGTATTGGCAGCCCTTCCTGCAGAGTTCTTCAGAAAGTCCTATAGAAAATGTCAAACAATTTTGAATAACTTACAACTAGCTCAAACCCAGAATAAGAATGCTTATAAATCCACACTTTTAATTCATAATTCAAAGTAGTGACTTAATTTCTTATTAAGATAATCATTGGAAAATCATTCTAAGCTTAGCAGTGCTATACCTACAAATGATTCAAATTTAAATATGAAATATTTTAAGAATTTTTAATAATAAACAGTCTAATATAACAGATCTACTTTTCAAAGAAAAGTAAAGATTTCAATACATTTTAGGACAGGATTTCAATTTTTAAGAACTNCCATTTGCAACAACATGGACCTAGGGGGTGTTATGCTGAGTGAAATAGGTCAGACAAAGAAAGACAAATACCATATGACTTCACTTAAATATGGAATCTAATAAACAAAATAAAAGCAAAGAAAACATAAACTCAGATACAGAGAACATTTTGATGGTTGCCAGATGGGAGGGTGGTTGAAGGGGGCAGATGAAAAAGAGGAAGGGATTAAGATGTGCAAATTGCTAGTTATAAAAACTCATGAGGATGTAAAGTACAGCATAGGGAATATAGTCAATAATATTGTGATAACTGTGTATGAAGTCAGGTGGGTACTAGACTTATGTTATGTAAATGTCTAATCACTATGTTGTATACCTGAAACTGTAATTGAAGAATAACAAAATTGTTTTTAAAAACACAGTAACTGTGGAACAACACTTTATCTGGATTGTATAGTCAGAATAAAACAGACAGACTTTAACAAAAAAAAAAATTTACCTTAAATGAACAGTAGGTGTCACTGTTTAAATGTATTGGCAGCCCTTCCTGCAGAGTTCTTCAGAAAGTCCTATAGAAAATGTCAAACAATTTTGAATAACTTACAACTAGCTCAAACCCAGAATAAGAATGCTTATAAATCCACACTTTTAATTCATAATTCAAAGTAGTGACTTAATTTCTTATTAAGATAATCATTGGAAAATCATTCTAAGCTTAGCAGTGCTATACCTACAAATGATTCAAATTTAAATATGAAATATTTTAAGAATTTTTAATAATAAACAGTCTAATATAACAGATCTACTTTTCAAAGAAAAGTAAAGATTTCAATACATTTTAGGACAGGATTTCAATTTTTAAGAACTCATATCATCTGGCTGTATATAGTGTTGAGTGAAAGAAAACATTATTTTTTAATAGTATTAAGGAAAATTGTGTCGAATTGTGCCTACCACCTAGGCACAATGAGTCTGAGTGTATGATCTTGTCTGTGAATAGAGATTGTGCATGTAAAAGTATTTTGAAAACTGACAAGTTGACCTACACATGCAAGGTAAGATTTCTTTCTCACGCAGTGTTGTTCTACTGTACTTCCCACAAAAGATGACTCTAGAAAAAGGAAGGGAACTCAGTTACAAAACACCTACATTTTCGAGAAGAATGTTACAGCCTCATAACCACTCTGCAGAGGTAAATATTATCTTCCTATTTGCAAAAGACTGGTAGCCTGGGAAAGTTTGTTGATCTGTCTGACCCCAAAGTCTGAGTTCTTTCTACTGAGTCACCTCGTGATTTAAACTTTTATAAACTGAATCAAATTCTTAAATTTTGCTGCATTACATTAAATTCACTCAGAGAATCCTGCTGATCAGAGGACATCAACGAGAAATCACTTTGTATAGGATATAATAAAGCAAAAGATCCCATCTAAATTAGCTTAAGACTATAGTTAAGTAGGCCATGTGTATTGGTCAATAGAAAACGTGTGGTTCAGTGCCCTAGGATCGATCTGCTAGATCTTCTTGTTTCTAGACCAGCGTCATTTCGCCCTTTTGTGGCATCTCAGTGATCTGTTGGCCAGATTTTCAGCAAGCTCAAGAAGAATACTAACTAGTCTTTTACCATCTGTGCTAAAGCATAGCCACTGGTTACTATTGACTAGAAGCTTGATCTACAATATAGCTTTAAAGGAACAAAGTAAAACCCACATTAGTCTTTGCCTATTCTTGGTAGTACCGTTCTACACCTGCACCTGCACATATTAATACAACTGTTTAAATTAGCATGAGTTGGAAGGGCTTCACATCGGTGTCGTTCCTCCCTTTGCTCAGGTTTTAAGGGGGAAAAGAGATAGACTGAGCTGAGTCTAACTGGCTATTGACTGAATTAAACAAATTCCTGCCCTTCCCCCCCCAAAAAAAATATTTCCTGCCAATTCAACATGCCCACTCTCCCAAGACAATGTAGGCTGATCAAGAGTTTCTACATCAATAGATATAGATGCTTCCACATGCAACACTAATCAGGTTGCTTCTTGCTTTGAATCCTTCAGTAGACTCTAGACACCAAACTTATGGTTTCAAGGTGGCTTCCCCCACCTGTATCTCTCTCCCTTTCTTCCCTGCCCCTCCCAGAGCCCCTGCTCTTCTCCCTTCAGTTCTCAACTAAAGTCGACTCTCTGGAAAGAGTCACTGCTCCTTTAGCATAGGGCATAATTCATTTTTTCTCATTATAACTGTGGTTCATTAAAATCTCTCTTTCTCACTATGTACACTCCTTGAGGCAAATGCTTGGTTGTCTTCATATCCCAAGTGTCTAACAGTGATTGGCTCGTGGCCATTTCTCAACGCTGGCAGGATGTTTATTTCCGTTCCTTTCCTTTCCTTCTTGAACAATTCAATTTTAAAGCTATAAGATGGGCCCAAACAAGGTAGATGTTACACTTGGTGTGGGATAGGGAATTACAAATATGGATAGAAAACTAAATAAAATCTGTAGTGTTTAATCAGAAGTAGAGGTATTGGTATGAACTAGATATAAATTAGATGATAGACAGACAGACACATATTCCTTTAATTCTGTGCCCTGAGAGGGGCTGGGACCAGAAACACATCAAAAGCAATAAGCACATCTAGTACTGAAATCTTGGCTTCTAAATATCATCTTCCATTAAAGGGAATGAGAGATCTTTTGGAAATGGCTGGTTCTAGAGCCGGGTCAGAGAAAATACAAGGTAAGCATAGAATATCTTGGCATAACAAGTAAGGGAGTGCTAAAGTATGATGGAGACATCAAGAGTCAGTTTGAATGGATTCCCATTGACCAAATCTGGGACACTGAGCATCAAGACAAATAACTGTAGAATGGATTGTAACCCTTAATTAAAATAGGACACCATGAATACATACTTACATTACTTATGATTCCATAAATACTTCAATAAAATGGAAAGTTTGATGAGTAATTGGACATCTACATAACTTTAAAGCACTTCTCCTCAAAATATGTATTAATCACAAAGGAAAAAAAGAGCAACTTTATAATGGAGAAGCCTGGCAGAGAAGCTTAATCAAGTTAAGTTAATATCAGTAACAGGCCACATTAAAACCATGCCACCTCAGAGGATGCAATGAGAACACAGCATCGCTTCTGCAATACTCCTGCTAAAGATGCATAACCTGAATCTAATCACCAGAAAACATCAGACAAACTCAAACTGGCAAAGGGATGTTCTGCATATGATTGACCTGACATCCTCAGAAATGTCAAGATCAAGAAGGTCGGGAGACGGAGGAATCATTACTGATTGAAGAATCCTGAGGAGATGTGACAAGTAAATGCAATGCATTATTCTGAACAGGAGCCTTTTACTATAAAAGACAGCTGGTGATTAAATGGGGTCTGGAGTTAGATGGCAAGAAATTATCAAGGTGAATTTCCTGATTTTAATGGTGGCAGTGCAGCATCTAGTGTAGCTTACTCTCAAATGATTTTAAATAAAGGGTTCTTTGCACTTTACTTGCACTGCACTTTTTTTCCTCTAGGGTTTAGATTACTTTCTAACTATTAAAAAACAATAACAACAACAAAAACAAACTAGACCATGCCATTTATACTTTTTAAACGTAAGCCAAACGCAAGTTAGGGTCCATTTTAGAATTATGATATATACTGTCTCTGCCTTCCAGGAGTTCATGAAAGAATTGTGTACATATAATTAATTTTAGCGGAAGAAAAAGAAAGAAAGACATGAAACAAGGTAGAGATTATCTTTGACTTTCCGCAGAGGCAGTTTCCTAGCCACGCTGCCATGTCACCAGCGCCCTCGCCACCCCGCCGGCTCCCGAAGCTGGGGAGCCGAGCCCGGCGGGCTGCGCGGGCCGCCCGAGTCCCTGCCCCGCCTCGGCGCCGCGCAGCCCGGGCCTGATGAGGCAGGCGCCCGCCGGAAACCCGGGCCGCCGCCCGCGCCCCACGCCCAACCCGCTCTCTGCCTGGTCTCGGGCTCGCGGGAACCCGGATTCTTGAGTCCAAGGCGTGGTGTACTTGGTGAAATTGATCTTTTAAAAATATATAAAATATTTAGAGGGAAAAAAATGCGACTACCAGGAGTGGGGTTCGAACCCACGCGGACATATGTCCATTGGATCTTAAGTCCAACGCCTTAACCACTCGGCCATCCTGGTGCAGGCGAAGGGTGTCCCTTTCGCTCTTCCTACAAGGCCTACTCCACCGTCCTCCTCGCTCCCTCCTTCCGAAATCCTTAGGTTTTGCCGCTGTTTTTTTCAGTTCTCCCAACCGGAGCTGGAGTGGCCTTCCCGCCAGAGCCCCGGTTCCCCACCGCCACAGCTCGCTGTTGCCCCGCGGCCGCCACGGCTGCGAGTTCAACTGCAGTCGAGCTTGGCGCGCTTTCGGCGACCGCGGCACGATCAGGTCCCGGCCCATTTTGCTTTCGATTTCGAGGTGCGCGGGCGCGGGAAACAAACACTTGTAAACGGCTGGATTCCTAGCGGCGCGATTTGGAGGCGCCCGAGCCTCGCGGTGGTGGTGCAGGGACGGAGCCCAGAATGCGGTGTTTGGCTTATTTTATTCCAAATAGCATAAACTTCAAGAAATGAGTTGCATGGGCAGCAGGAGAGTTCTTGGACCCCTGTACCGGTGGGTCGCTTTTCTTCGTAGCATGTGTCACAAGTCACATGGGAAGAAAGCTGTGTAGCAATGT